TGGATCAACACTTTACAAAGGTAAATTTATTATTAAGATGTGTGTGCATGTACATATGTAATATATTTTGTTTTACTTTACTTATTGTTATTATTATTATTATCATCATTATCATTATCATCATCATCATTACCATCATCAAGATTTTGGTACAAGATTGCTGAATGAGGTGAGGAAATTGGCCGTCAAAGATATTAAAATTAAGATTTATGCACCTTCAGAAAGAAAATATAGTACATGGATAGGTGGATCTATATTAGCAGCTCTAAGCACTTTCAAGAAGGTAATACAAAAAAAACCAAATTATCACATCATCATTGATAACATATTAACATATGTTTAAATTTGTTTAGATGTGGGTTTCAGCTGAAGAATATCAAGAAGATCCTGATATCATTCATAAAAAAAGTTTCTAAAAAGTTTTTTATTAAATAACAATAACCCTAATTTATTACCATTTGGTTTACTATTTATTTACTATATATATATATTTTATAATTTATTTTATGATTCTTCCTTCTTCCTTCTGTAACATTTAAACAATAAACTGCATGAATATATTTATATTGAATTTTTCTTTGTAAAGTGTTGATCCACCAGACAACACAACATTTGCAAATAAAGACTTTCTTAAATCTAAATCTACTCTATTAATTGAATCAACAACAACTTGGTGAACGCCTGCATACTCTTCTCCAATCAATTCTGGATTGAATAAGATTTCGGGTGCTTTAAATCTTTCAGTTTTCAACTATTACAGTATTGTAATAAATTATAATAATAAATAGCTTTAAAAGTTGGTTAATTAATTCCAAAAAAAAAATTGTATACATTTATTTACCTTGACAACATTACCATCAGGCAATACATAATCACTAAATTCTCTACTGGTATCTTTTTCTTCTTTATTCGGATTTATTGCAACATAACAAGTCTTTTCTTTTATGGTACGTACGACTTCTTTTTCTGCAGTGGTATGAAAATTATAACCAGATCTACGAAGAAGTAATTGTAAATATTCTGTAACGTCACTATAAAAAAAATTTTTTTTTTTTTTTTTGAGAAAAGAGAAAGAAAGTCAGTCATATAATGATAATTATAGTAACAGTAAATAGTGTTGATAATGTTGTTGATTGATAATGTGCTAATATTAATAATAAATAGAAATATAGTAATATTATTAATAATAATACTTTACCGGCCTGCAATATCAACTCTACGAATAGCATGAGGAAGAGCAAATCCTTCATATACTGGTACAGCATGAGTTACACCATCACCGGAATCAAGGACTATACCAGTTGTTCGACCTGAAGAATAACTAACGTAAAAATTTTTTTTTATAAACAAAAAATTTTCAACTTTTTTAAAAAAAAAGATTATCTCTTTCTCTGCATCTATACTTACAGACTCAAGACAGCTTGAATTGATGTGAACAAAGCTGGTGCATTGAACGTTTCAAAAAACATTTGTGCAGCAGAATCTCTATTATTTCTTGGATTAAGTGGAGCTTCAGTCAAAAGGACTGGATGCTAATAAACAGAAACCATTGTAATTAAATGCATGTGTTTGTTCACGTTATTATATAATAATAATAATATTCATACTTCTTCTGGAGCAGTTTTTAATTCTTCCTCATAAATATATTTCCATATACGTTCCATATCGTCCCAATCAGATACAATTCCATGTTCAATCGGATACTTTATTTTGAGAAGTCCTCGTAACTCTTGAGCTTTACGTCCAATAAAAACATCACCTTCTACAGCACCTGCCATAATACGTACATGTTTTGGACGTCCAACACTTTTTTTTTAAAAATTCAAATATTATGTTTTCTTGAAATACATACATATATATAAAAGTCTTATTTGAATTTAATAAATAATGCATACTATGAGGGAATAAGACATTTTGGTTGATCATCACCGGCGAAACCAGCTTTAATCACCCCAGAGCCCTTAAGAAGAATAACAAAATGAAATAAGAAAATTATTCTACCATTACTTATATGATATACACATCTCTTTTATATACATACATTATCGATTACAACAGGTTGATTAGTCAAAACGTCCTCGTATTCCATATTTGCTTGTTTTTTTTTTTGTTTGTCTTTTTTTCAATTTTTTCAATGTAATACACAGAATTAGGAGATCTATAAAGTTTGAACTTGCGGAAAAACTGTGCAATTATAATTTTATAATTTGCTCAATGTGCGTGTTGCACGAATTTCTATGTTTTATATAAAGAAAAAAAAAACTTGAGATCATATAAATGGCAACTCAACAAATAAGTAACCCCTCACCTCCAAAACCATGGGAAAGAGCTAATA